GAGTCACCATGTCCTCCTCGCCCCTTTTCCGGTTGGGACGCCTGGTGCTGCTGTTCACGATGCTGATCGCGTCGCTAGTCAGGTATTCCCCCCCCTCCAGCCAAGCGCACCCTCCTGGCCTCCCCTTGCCGCATCTCTAACGCCCGGATTCCCCTGCATCGGCCCAGCTTCACCTCGGCCTTCACCCTGATCCTCGGCCCCAACGAGGAGCGCTGCTTCTTTGAGGAGCTGTCCCCCGGCGATCGCATGAGTGTCACCTTCGAGGTGACCCAGGGCGGCAAGCTGGATGTGGATTTCTATGTGCGTTCCCATGCACCCCCTTTGTGGCGAGCCTCGCCCCTGGCATGCCGTCTGCCGCCCTGTACCCTGACACACTTGCCACCGTCGCTGCTGTCGTTGCTGGTGCTTGGGACGGCTTTTCCTCCCCATCGCCCCCATGCACACGTGCAGCTCTACTCCCCCTCCAGCAACATCCTCCACCAAACGGAGAAGGCCACCTCCGAGACCTTCGCCTTTACCTCCTCCGAGAATGACTCCGATACTCCGGGCAAGAACCGCTACCGCTACTGCTTCAGCAACCGCCTGTCTTCGCGCACGCGCAAGATCCTCTCCTTCACGGTCCGCACGGATCCCCTTTCGCGCCGCAACAACCAGAATGGTACATGGACTCCGTTCTCCCGCCCCACCCGCCCGCCTCGCCTCCCGCGACCGCCTCCCCCGCCCAGGCGCTCGCATCACTCTAACCGCCCCCGGGCCTTCTCCCCCCCCCCTACACACACACACACACACACACACACGCACACGCACACGCACCCTTCCTGCGCCTCCTCGTAGTCTCTCGTGATCCCCAGCTCGAGGCCGAGCTGAATGAGCTTCTCCACGGCTCGAAGGCCATTCGCGAGTCGGTGCGGTACCTGCGCGTTCGTGAGGCCACCCATCGGAGCACGGCCGAGTCCTCCAACTCTCGCATCAAGTACTGGTCCATCGCTCAGCTGGTCATCCTGCTGCTGGTGGTCGTTGTTCAGTTTGTCTTCCTCAAGCGCTTCTTCGAAGTCCGCCGCACCGTGTAGACCGGCTCTCCTACCACTTGGCTTTCCCTCCTCCCCTCTCGGCCCCATGCGCTCACGCCTTTCAATGTGCCGTCCTCTGCCCCGAGGAGCGGGACAGGCCAGGAAGCGAGAGAGAGAGAGAGAGAGAGAAGTGAGCGAAAGTGGCGTACCAATATCGCCCCCACCACATCTGGCCAGGAAAATACATCCAAAACATCGTCCCCCACCTCAAGAGCTCGTGTGCCACATGAAGAACATGTAACAATCTATATTCATCCATGCACATGCACATATGTGCCAACACGACATGGGGGAGGGAAGGGGGACAATGAGAGAGAGGGAGAGAGAGAGAGAGAGAAAGCAAAAGAAGCACTTGAATCAGCATGGAACCGGCCAAAACCCAGCTCCTGCTCTATGGCGACGAGGGGGGGAAGTAGGAATAGTATAACAATGGCACATCGTGGCGAAGGGCCGAAAGCACGGTGGCCTTGTCGGTCTTGTTGTCGACGGCCAACTGCTCAATAGCCTCATCGAAGGCCTGTCGGCCGGTCTCCGCCGAGTACAGCGGCCAGTGGCAGAAGAGAATCGCCACTGCCTCGCGAATCTCCCGCTGGTGGGCCCGGAATTGCTGGAAGTCGGGGAAGATCTCCCGCATAAGACTCGACATCCGTGCAGGCGACATGCCCAAACGCTGGGCCATATCTCGGACAGTGGGTGTGGGTATCTCCCGTGCCATGGACAGAATCTCTCCATGAATGTGCATAGCACTGGGAGACCCATTAGCCGCTGCACCTTCAACGACCTTCGAGTCCCTTGTATTGTCACCGAAACTGCTGCTGCCGCTGCCGCCGCCACTGCCGCTGCCGCTGCTGCTGCTGCTGCTGCCCCTGGTGGCAGAGGTGGTGACAGTGGCGCTGCCAGTGCTGTCGATGCTCGTGGTGTCGGGGTCAATGGCGCTGTCAAAGTCGCTGCCGCCGTTGTCATCCTGATACAAGCCGGCCGCATGCAAAACCTTCCGGACTTCCTCCACTCGGAGATTTAGCTCCTTGGCAATGAACTTCATCTCATCGGCCTTCTCTTTGGTAATGCCAAGACCCATCTCCTTGAAGCCCGGGTTGACGAGGCGCAAAACTGCATCATACAAGTCCCCGCCCGGGGCGAGACGATCCGACATGAGCAGCCCCTCGGCCGCCAGCAACCGCCGGGCCACCTGCTGCGATATCCCCACCCGAGCGGCCGCCTCCTTGATGACCGCGACCCGGGGAAGGGCGCCATCCATGGCCTGCAAAAGCGGCTGCAACATCGACTTCTTCATGCTTCGACGGTGTTGATGCATGTCGGGCGCATGCTCGCGCAACGCCGCCCGGGCAATGCCCAACGATAGGTTCAGCTCCTCGGCCATCTGCACCACCGGCATGTGCGTATTGTAGGCCATGTCCCGAAGCCGGGCAATCACCTCCGGCGCCATGCGCCGCGGGGGCTTCTGAGCCATTCGAGCAGCCGCATACTCCGGCACATGGTGCTCGAGCAGTCGAGCCAGGGTGACCTTCCCGATGCCGGTGGCCTGCGAAATGCTGTGCAACGTCGGGGGATCCGGACGTCGGGCCATCGCCAGGGCCAGGGCCTCACTCTTCCGGGACACCTGACGCGAACGCAACAGCCCGGGGAAGTGCTCGGCCAGGATCTGACGCAAGCGCGTTCGGCCTACCCCAGTGGCGCGAGACAGGCCCAGCACCGTGGAGTTCGAGCTGGAATTGTTGACAAGTTGAGACAGCTGATGAATCAGCTCCGGGCCCGTGTGGACCATCTGCCGGGGAACACGATCCGGCATATCCCTCTGCAGTAGCTGCTGCACAAGCCGGATGGAGATCCCAGTCTCCCGGGCAATTTCCGTCAGATATAGCACCGGCTGGGTTTTCCGGGCCAAAGCCAACACCTGGTTGACCTGACTGTCGGACAGGGAATCCAGAAGCCCCCGGCGCCGGGCGGGACGATGCTCGGGCAGGTGAATGCGGATGATGGTTCGCACGCGGGGCACGGAGATGCCCACTTGCTCGGCAATTTCACTGTACGTCAGTGGTGGGCTGGCCTTCTGGGCCAAATACAACGCCCGGTCCACTTGGGCTTGGTTGATGATCCAACGCCGGCGAGTGGACAGGCGCACCGCCTCAGCCAGCAGCCACCGGGCCAGGTCCTCGGAGGTATTCAAGTGCGAGGCCACCTGGGCCGGGGTGATGGTTGGCTCGACCTGCAGGATGGCCATCGTCTGGTTGATGAGCTCCGGCGGCAGGGGAGATGCTCGAATTGTGCGCCGCACGTGCAGCACAACACGTCGCGCCACAAACAGCGGGATATCCAACGAATTGGCCACATCGGACACTCGGACTGTCGGGTCCGCCCGAAGCAGCGCCATTACCTCGTTGACCAGCTTCTTGTCCAGGGGGGTTGCCCGGAGGGCGGCTCGACTCTCGCGCAAGGCCCGCCGAGCCAGGTCTATCGGCAGGTCCAGCTCCGTGACAACGTCCTCAAGGCGACTTAGGGGCTTTTCCCGGAGCAGGTCCGTCACGCGACCGAGCACTTCGGGCGGAATGGGCGGCGTGCGGATAGACCGCACAGAGCGTCGGACCAGCGACAGCGGAGCATCCAGCCGCTTGGCCATGACGGCCAAGCTCAAATCCGGCTCCTGCTCCAGCAGCCGTGCCACATCCTGCTTGAGCCCCTCGGGGATGGGCGGCCTCTTGTAAATGTGCTGGAGCCGGTGCCAGGCATTGAGTGTCCCCCATTGGGAGGATGACAAGACCATCTGCCGGGCGTAGGACACCGAACACCCATGCATGAAGGCAATCTTCCAGAAGGGCAGCCGCTCCTGGTTGGTGGTCAACTCCATCAGGGCCGCCTGCAGGCTGGATTGCAGGGCCTTTTCCAGGGCCGGCCAATTCGGCAAGGTCCCCGGGCCAAAGCGCTCCAATGTCGGCATCACCCGAGATACCGCCAGCCCGGCACGCAGACCCAAATCCCGGGGAGTGGGTACCGGAGGGACATCCCCCTTGTCGGTAGCCGACAGCTCGGTCGGAATGACGATCTCCCCCGCCAGCCTGAGCAATTCCTGCTGCTCTCGGGTAGCGAGACGCAGGGAGTACTTCGGCAGGCTGAGCGGCGGCGCGGTGGCTATGCTACAAGCCGTGCGGAAGGGAATGCCCATCTTCTCGGCCGCTGCCTCCACCGACAGGTCCGGATTCATCTCCAGTAAATCCGCCAATTGACGCTGCTCAGGGCCAAGAGACAGCCAAGGCAGCGGCATCGGGATGCCCACCGAGTGGCCAGTCAGGATCTGCCACAGAACGTGTGGCCTGATGTCATGATGCGAGGCCAGCTGCTCGATGTCGAGCTTCGGGCTGGAAACCAGGCCGGTTGACTCGTCGGCACTGGCGATCACATCCCTGGCCGTGGCCTGCACCGTGGTCAGAACCCGATCAACCACCCCGGGCATCAGGCTGAACATGGCCCGGGACAGGGCCACAGGCCGGAGCAGGAGGTCCAGATCGAAGGCCGAGCAGCCCAGCAGGGTGGTCAGCATGGCTCGCGAGTGCAGGGGATCCACAAGGATTCGCCGCACGGCCTCGGCCAGCTCCGGTGCCCGCGAAGATGCCGCCGTATCCAGCATCAAGAAGCCCGGGACCTCCGCGCGGAGAAGCTCCAGGACCGCATGAACTGGGAGGTTGTGCTGCACACTGAGGGCCAGGATAGAGGGGGGGTCGGAATTGGTGGCATCCCCGAACGAGGCGGCGGTCACCGCCTCCTCGGCTGTTTGGACAATGAGCTCGCGCACCTCGACCGGCGTCTCAAGAAGAAGCTCGGCGGCCTCCTGCGCACGCAAGGCCGCCAGGGCCCCGACCAGCTCGCGCTCGACCAGGCCGGCACTCTCAAACAGCTGGCCGATCGGCAGCGTGTCAAAGAGGTCGGCCCCGGACAGCTCGTCGGCCAGCCAGTTGTTCACGCGGATGCGCGCAGTCAGCCAAGCCGGCAATCCATGCAGATCCCCCCGGAGGAGGGCATGCCCAGGCAGGTGGATCAGAATGAGATTCGCCACACGGGTCAGGGACAAGTCGGCCACGGCCGCCAGGTCGGCCAACGTGATGCCGGGCTCGGCGGCCGCCATCTCAAGGACCTGTCGGTATTTGACCACCGACTCGCTGGCGGTCGCGTCGAAGAGCGCCGCATAGGGCGTGTGCAGCTCCAAGAGGGTCGTAAGTTTGTCAGCCGGGACGTCGAATTCCATGGCAATGTCTCCCAGAGACATGCCATACTCAGGGTCGCGGGCGAGCTCCACACATTGGAATGCGATCCAGGGCAAACTCAAGCGCGGGGCTTCGGTCAGGGGCGGAGCATCCCGCCGGAAGCCCGGGCCCAGAGATGATGACCGTCCATCAGGGAGATGGCCGGCACCATTTCGATGGTCCAAAGCCGCAGATTGAGCCTTGGGATGTGGGCCCGCACCGGGCTCCGGCCGGGAAATGCCGCCCGAGCCCATGGACAGGGTGGAGTCGGAGCGTGATTCAAGATCCGAGCCCCGGTCCGACTCGAGATCCGACTCGACGTCCGACTCGAGGTCCGAGTCCAGCTCCGACTCGAAATCGAAATCCGAATTGAGATCCGACTCCAGGGCCATATCCAGGTCGAAGCCGGAGCGTGAATGCGAGTAAAGCCCGACCATGTGCTCTTCGGGCTCCTCCTCGCTGGCGGAAAGAAAAAAACCCTCACTCATACTTCCATCGCCATGGCCATCGCCATCATCATTGTAGGGGGACAAAGTGCGGGAGTTCTCATCCGGAGAGGCGCCAGGACCGCTGGCACTGGTGCTGGTGGTGTAAAAGGCAGCCCCAAGCGGCTGGGAGCGATGGTGGAAAGGACGTCCATGGTAGGAATTGGGGCCCATACGAGACCCAAGCCCTTGAGGAGACCCGACCGCCAGATTGCCCGGAGGCCGAGGCTGGAGCTCGGCAATTGATGCCATCGGCCGGGGCGCGCCCAGCATCTGGCGGCAAAGGGGCCACGGAGCCCGGCGAAGGACCGACCGAGACAGGAGGCTCATTTCAGTCACGGTCGGGGAAGAGGGAGGTGGGATGCGGAGTGGAGGGGCTTGAAGGGGATTTTGCGCTCGGGAGGGCGGGCAGCAGCACGCGAGGCCGAGAGAGATACAGGGAGAGGTGCGGGGGGGGGGGGGGGGAAGGGGGGCAAGAAACGAGGGAGGAGGAGAAAAGACAATGATGTTCGGGAGGAGAGGGCTAGCTGGCCATCTTGGGGGAGGAGGGCGAAAAAGAGGCTGCACAAAAACCAGGATTTGAACTGCCCACGAATGATCGAGCGTGCTGGAACCCGGTCAACTCCCACACCGGGCGGGGGGGGGGGGAGAGTGGGAGCAAGACACTACATTCAACGGGCATCGGTGTGCAAACTTTGTGATGTGTATTAAAAAAGATCCGATAGATGGAGAGAGAGGAAAAGGGGGAAAGAGGGCGTCGTGGGTGCGCAGGGAGGAAGGCAGTCGTTGCCGCGCCCGAGAGGGGGGAGAGGAGAGGGGGGCACCACTCATGGGCGAAACGTGGCAGCGGCAGAGGCCAACCGAAAGAGACTGACGTGTAGTTGGCTCCGACCCCCGCGCCCCTCCCCCCTACCTCTGACAGGATCACTGCGTGTAGGAGGAGAGGGGGCAGCAGGAGAAGGGGGACACACAGACCAACAAACGGGCACATCATCACACGCTGGGGGCCATGGGAGAAGAGCGTCCCCTGGGGATGAGGAGCCCGATCGATGCTTGGGTGTGTGTGTGTGTGTGTGTGTGTGTGTGTGCGTGTGCGTGCGTACGTGCGTAAGCGCATGGATACATGCACATAGGCGCCTATGCCCTGATAATGCACGAAGCTGGGCTTTAACCCTTGTGGTAGTCGGCCAGCTGGGCATCCAGCTCCTCGATGGTCATGGTGCGAGGCTCGTCGGCACGGCGGGCAGCCTTCCCAGCCTTGCCGGCAGTCGAGGCAGGGGCGTTGGCCCGGGGCTTGGCCTTGCCAGCCTTGCCGGCGCCGGCCGCGGCATTTCCGGCACCAGGGCGACGGGCAGCGACAGTGGCCTTGCCAGCAGCAGAGTGGCCGCCAAGGGGGCCGCTGTTCTGACGGCTACCAGCGGCGGCCGAGGCCAGCAGCGGCTGGAGCAGAGAGAGGAGAGCCGCCGGGTTGGGAGTAGCCGCCGAGGCATCCACCGGCATGGGCTTCAGGGCCACACGGAGCTGGCGACCATCAAGGACAATCCCGCGAGACAGGTCGCTAACGGCGCGCTCGGCGTGCACCGGGTTGCGGAAGTTCACCTGAGCATCGCCGATCGAGCGCCCATCAACAGTGTGGAAGATGGTGACGCGACTGATCGGGCCGAAGCTGGAGAAGAGATCCTGAGAATGTGTGGTGCGCCGATGCGTGTGGATTCATCCGTTGAGGGGACGACATGACGGAGTGCGAGAGGTGAATATGATGCATGGCAGTATGACAAGAGACGGGGAGGTCCTTTCCTCCTTCCTCTTCCTGCTCGTCCCGAGAGAGAGAGAGAGAAAGAGAAAGATGGAGGAGCAAGCAGAAGGGACGCACGCGCAGGTCCGCCTCAGTCACAGTGTACTTGAGGTTGGAGACCAGGACGATGGAGGAGGCACGGGGAGCCTGGCCGTCGGGGCGCTGCTGCTGCTGCTGCTGCAGAGTGGCCGCAAGGGTGGACATGAGCTGCTGGTTCTGCAGCAGCTGGTGCTGAGGGGGGAAGACGGAAGGAAAGAGAGAGAGAGGGGGGGAGGAGAGAGAGGGAGAAAGAAGGGGGAGGGAGGCGCGACCGGCACCAAAGTGGGAGGTAAGAACGACAGGGCAAACTTAGAAGGAGAGGGAAAGGGAGAGGAAGGGAGGGAGGAGGGAGAGATGCTGCAGGCACGCGCGCATGCGCGAGTACACCTGTGTGAACATGGGGGAGACCACCCAGCCGCCGTGGGACCAACACCAGAAAGAGATGACGCAAAGCACACAGAGCCACAGCCGTCGAGATGAGGAGGAGAGAGAAGAAGAGCAGGGAGAGCAGGGAGACGGCAGTGCATAGCATGCAGAAGAACATCACAGGCGAGGGACAGAAGCCGAGGCGGGGGAGGGCAGCCTCGACGTTGCCCCATTTCACTGTGGCCTCATGGATATGCACAACATACATGCACGCGTGCAAACACCTACACAAACGTGCACATAGACACACACATGCATGCGTACATGCACGCATACGCGCATATACGATACACGGTCTCCCATGCTCTCTCTCAGGGACCCCCCCTCCCACGGGGGGAGAGGAGGCAGGCGCGCGCCTGCCAAAGACACGGGACAGGGAGGAGGACATCAGCGTGCGCCGACATGCATGTGCACCCCTCTCGACCGGCTGGGCAACCCACGCCAGGAGAGGGAGAACGAAAGGGACGCCGAGCAGTCGACCTGTGCAACTGGGCTGAGTCCATCCAACGACCGGTGTGTACAGTGGCTGGCGGCCTTGCAGCTGGTGAGAGAGAGAGAGTGTGTGTGTGTGTGTGAACACCCCCCACATGCATGGCTGCATGTATCTCTCTCTCTGTCACAAGCAAGGAATACGCCCTCTCCCTCGAGGCCGGCCAAGGGCCCTCCAGAGAAGGCCGGCCAATATGGGCGCAGAAGTCCGCACCTGCGCGCATGCATGCGGATATACACACACATGCACGCACGCAGAATGGGAAAGGGAGAGGTGCGTCCCCCCATCATCTTGTCTGGGGACCACACACAGCCAAGACCACGCTCACCTGGTATGCGTGCGTGGAGTGTGTGCGCGCGTGCGCGCGCGGACGAGCAGATGCGAGCCTACGCGAGTACATAGGTATGTAAACCCTGAAGCGAAGCATACATATGCGTGTGTGCGTGTGCGTGTGCGTGTGCGTGTGCGTGTGCGTGTGCGTGTGCGTGTGCATGTATCCGTGCGCTTGCATGTGTCCTTTGAGGAGGAGCGTCGGTGCAGGGACACACATATGCACATGCTGAAGCATACGCCAGGGAGCTGCCAATAGAAACGATCGAGGGGATGCATAATCACCCGGGCGAATTCCATCGGTTGCCGCGGATGTGTGTCGCCGGGCTCATGGAGCCGGAATAGGCGCGGGGCCCCTCATTTTCCTGCATCATGACCCGTTGCCATGCCAGAGAGGATGACGGACGGTAGTTCGAAGGGGCCCCGTTCAGAGACTCAAGTGACCTGTGGCTCTGGCATCCCCTGATTAACATGAACACCAAGGGGCTATTCGGCTGCATCATCCCTCGCGCCGATCTTGCTGGCACTTCTTCCTGGCAAACGCCGATACCGGTGCCACTGGGACACACGATCGACAGATCTCTCATCGGATTATGCGCAGGGACCCCGGGCCACGGGGACGTCCCAGGAGAGGGGAAGCGAGAATGGAAAGGGGGCATGCGCTCACTCAGGCACATGCACGCACATGCACAGACACACGCACATGTAGACGCACACGCACACGTACACACATACACGCACGCACGTACGCACGCACGCACGCACGCACGCACGCACGCACGCACGCACGCACGCATGCACGCGCACATCCATACACAGGGAGAAGAGGGCCAGACAGTACAATCACTCACATACTCGCGGCCCCCGGCGTGAAGCGTGCACGCAAGCGGGGGATAGAGAGGGAGAGAGATAGACAGGGAGGGAGAAGAACCCATAGAGGACGGCGCTCGATAGCGCCATGGGTCTCCGACAAGGTGGGACCCGGGCCGGTGGGGCTCGCAGGCAGGGAAGAAGGAGCAGAAGGAGGGGAGGGTACGAGCATACGGGGGCGCGCGTTCACACGCGCGCCAGCGCAACGCTCGAAGCTAAGAGAAGGAGAGACATACGTTCTGGAAGCGGGGGACGGGCGCGCCGGGAGAACCGACACGGCCGCCGGACGTCGCCACAGAGGCGGGGCTGGGGCGGCGGTTGCGGTTGCGGCGGGCGCTGGGGGTGGAGTTCTGGGCGTTGCTGTTGTTCTCGGCGTTCTTCTTCTGGCGGGCGGCGCGCTCCTGTGAGCCGGTGTCAGTCCGGAGGGGAGTGAAGGGGGGCGGGGACGGGGACGGGGACGGGGGGGGGCGAAGGAGGGAGGAGCAGGGGTTAGACACAGGACAAGTGGTTGCGGCAAAAGGAGAGGGCTGGCGATATGACATGAAGAGAACGAACCGCGGAACGACGCTCGGCAAGCAGCTCGTCGAGGGACTTGTTCATGCTGCAGGGAGAGGGAGGGGGAAATAGGGTGCAAGGTGTCGGGGCGTCAGACGGCTGCCCAGGCTCAGCGGCGGGAGGAAGAGAGGCAAAGCAGGGGGGGGGGGGGGCTGCGCGCGAAGCCTCCAGCTCGGCTAGTCGCTCGCCCAGGCCCTCGGTCTGGTGGATGGCTCGGTTGTACACCTCAAGTTGCTGGCTTTGCTGCTCGGAGAGGCTGCCAATCGACTCGATCTCGGCTGAGACGCCGACAGGATGCCCAGCAAGAGGAGGCGGAGGAGGAGGCGGGGGGCGAGAGAGAGGGAGGGAGAGAGAGGGGGGGGGGGGGAGAGAGAGAGAGAGAGAGAGAGACAAAACGGAAGGGAGGCGCACGTTGGAGAGGGGGGGAAGGGAGGCGTGGGAGAAGGGGGGGGGAGGGGGAGGGGGAGGGAAATTTGGAGTGCAGCGGAAGGAAGCAAACCGTGGTGCTCTGAGCCTGGCTGGCGGAGGAAGGCGGGGAGGCGCGTGAAGAAGCCCATTCGCAAGTGCGGCTCAACACAGCCAACCACATTCACACCGGAGGCTGAGCATCCAAACAGCGAGGATTCAACAGCTGTCAACAATCGGCTCCGCCACGTTGGCGCCCGGCCCCGAAGAGGGAGCGAAGAGCCGAGAAGACACCGTCGGAGAAGCAGCCCCCACACCACAGGAGCCCCATGACTGCTCACGCACGGGGCACATGGCAAGCCGCACATCAAGAAGGACGCCTGGAGAAGGGGAAGAACAAAAGCAGGTCGTCCGTTCGGTCCACGGTGGGCGCGCGAGAATGGTCTCTCTCCCCCCCCCGGGGGGGGTGCTTCGAGAGAAACAAGGGGCGTGGGGTCCGACCAGGCGGCAGGCTCCCGGACAACCCCGGCTGGGAAAAACGGCCCATCGCCTCCTATCCCCGGCCCCTCCCCCCCCCCCCCGGGGAAGGCAAGGTCTGACGGGCGCGGGCAAACGAGCGAGCGCGCGAACGTTGGAGGAAAAATGCGCGCGCAATCGCTAAAGTGAACGGAACGCGAAGTGTGGACGCGTGTGATTCGCGTGGCACATGACCGTCCCAGTTACGCCTGGTGATCATCGAATGCTGTTCCATAACCATAATCCACGGACCACACCGGGCGCCGTCCGGGGGGGGGGGAACCCACGGCGTCCAGGCCCGGACGGTCGGTCCTAAAAACACCGACAAGGCTGGCAGACCGGGGGAGGGAACGGGGAACCCGGCCTGGGAGCCGGGCCGCCAGAGGGCGCGGAGCGGGGGCAGGGGAAACTAAAAAAGACCTGGCCTCTGTTGAATAAATAATGGGCCTTGTATTTGGGGAAAGACACACAGGGCCGGGGTGAAATGTGCGAGTGCTAGCATTCAGCGCGCTGGAGCCAAGTTCCGGCTGCGGTCGTCCCCCAATTTACGGTGGTGCCCGATTCCGCCCAGAGCGCCCGAGGCCCAAGGTCCCAGCGTGCTCCTGTATCCCCCCGCCTGAGGGGGCAGTCACACACACACACACACACACACACACACATACACACATAGACGCCCAGACACACTTCAGAGCGGGCCCGCGTGTCGGCTCCTTCCGTTGGGTGTTTTTGCTTGGGTGGTCCCTCGGACTGCGGGCGTGTTCGAGTGCACGTCGCTCTTGTACGCCGATCCTCCTTCTCCGTCCCAGAGAGGGACACAGGGTCGGGGCCTGTTTTTCGCAGGGCGCCCGTGTCTCCCCTCCTGCCGCTTGCCTCGCACCCCCGGGTCCCCTTGTGGACGGGGACGGAGGGGCGACGACTGCGTTTAGGAAGCACATGCCTGGCATGCGCGCGGTGGCCCTCACCACCCCGCCCCCCCCCCCCCGCCGGAGCTCCGGCTATGTTCCTGATAGGTAAACATTCTCACCCGTTGGAGTTTTTTTTCATTATTTTCCCGAGGGTCTCCCACAGCCGGTCGAGCGCGGATCCCAAAGCCCCCATTCTGTTGTGGGAGACCAACCGAAGGCTGTGCAATTCCTGGCGGGGGGAGGGGGGACGCCCGCTGGCCTGGCTCCGGCAGAGGACGTGTTCGCGACGATGGGGCCATGACGACTGCCCTTGGCCCAGCCGAGATATGCGCCCGATGCGCCCTTCATTCTGCAGGGGGCGAGCGGGCGGGGGCAAGCAGGGGGGCCACCAGCCTGGTGAATTTTTATTTCCTCGCCCATGGGAGCTTCGTCTCCCTCTCTCTCCCTCTCTCTCTCTCCCTCTCTCTTGGCCCCTCAGCCTGAAGCTGCCACCGTTCGAGGGAATTCCCACCGGCATAGGGCGTGGAACACTACCCCCCCCCCCCCCCGCCTGGGACTTGGTCCGGGGCTCGGAATATTGACCACCCCGGCCTGGGCTTTCTCGGGCCGGGCCCGCCGATTTTCCGACGGGGGCCCCGTTCCCCCGCGCATTAGGGTGCCCCGATGCCCGCGGGTGTGAGCGGACGCGCAGCCACGCGCCCGAGCGTGTACACACGCGCACACGCACAGACGCAGACTTGCCGCGCTTTGGTGCCGGCGCGGCCCCCGCCCTGGCCGCAGGCATCCGAGAGGCGGCTGCTCTGCACCTCCCGCCACGCCGTCCTGGCCCCCGGGGGTGAACTGCTGCCAACGAGAGGGCCCCGCCGCGGGATCGCTGTGCGCCTGCTGCCTCGGTGGCTCGCCCCCCGTCGTCGGAGCCTCGACGGGCTGCCGAAAGCGAGGGCCAGACGAACGGGCCACGGGAAAGGCCCGCGCCCGCCAGAGCGACCAATCCATGCCGTTGGCGCCGGATACGCCCATGCCCGGTGCTAGCGCACAGATCCGCAGGCGATCCTTGATGCCAGTTGTCCC